TCAGCTGAATTGCTTCACGCCAACTTCATATTCTGTTGTAGACGAATTCATTGGGACAGTGGGACGGCCAGGAGAAACCCTTCAGCTAAATATGCACAGTCTTCACAACCACAGCCTATGAACAATGAACTGTGTGGAAAACATGTCTCTCCCTGACAATGCAACTTCTGTTCCAAGCCATCAGTGGCACTGATTTCCACGTGTCTAGGTCATATATCATTGCGAACCGCCGACATAATATTTTAAACGACAAGAATACAATGTATTTGTAGTCGAAATGTTTTCGCATGAAGTGTCGATGACAACAAAACAATTGAAATGAACAATGCCGTACATTGTGTTTCAGGAGTTGAGTAAATATGTGTGTTTGAGGCTGAATGAATAGGACAGGAGAATGACAAATCTGCCTGATAACCCACCAGTGATTCAGCCAGATTGCTAGTGAATCAGTCTTATAAACTCAATGTTTCAAATGATTTGATTGAGATGGTTCCTCTTTCAATGACATGGTAGAATACTGTTCATAGTGAGTGAATTGGATAAAGATGATATGTTCGATGAGCATTCGAGTGTTGGCGAAAAACATTTGAAAGGTGGTTAAAAGCATATGGCGACTCAGGATAAGATTTGAAGTTTGTTTCTTGAAACAAACAGTTGGTGACATACTCTGATGTGTACAACTAACACGCATTTAATCTACACTTAATTTATTCAGCACTACAACACCTAGGTCAGTGTTTCATCATAAGGCTGAGTGTGAGGAATGACAGTGAGTAGTGAATGTATCAAAATTAGTATGCTGAAAAGGCACAGCTGTATTTGTGAGACGTGTTGCATATCGATGAAGGTTGTTTGATTCATGACCCGGAGAAGTGTCCACAACTTTCGAAACTGGTTAACATCTACACACCCTGACTGACCACATGTAGAAAGAACGAATTGACGTAAAACACTGGTTGAACAGAGTGACCTGGATAATAATAAAAGTATGCGAATGGGTTTTATTCACATATATGAGGCGACGCCGCATATCAGCAATGTGTTCCTCTTCATATAACGTTGTCTTGCTCACAGTCACATGTCCGATTTTCAATGAAATATCAGGTCTAAGGTGGAGCAGTCCCTATTCCTATCATGTTCATGTGTCTCACTGAGTTAATGGCGTTCTCGTTTCTCGTATTATTTATTCTCTCAACCACTTCCACCATGGTCACATCAAGATGACAGTGATAAGGCTATTCTTTCACTCCCACTGAATTCAGTCGAGCGAGGTTCGACCAACGTGTCGGAAATGATTGGAACGACACGTTTCATACACAGCATGAGATAACACGGGAATGAAAGATATTTGAGAGGTGAAAGCATTTCGAACAGACTGAAAGAACTTTCAGTTATCCGTCCGATATGTAGGAAGACTACAAAATCATGTGACCGGTTGTGTCTGAAATAGTGAAGAATGTGGTTTCAGGTATGATAGAGGTGATCTTGTGAAATTAGTGGTATTTGATGATATGATGGCAACTCAGATATAATCAGGCGTTAATTGAGAGTTTTCGATTATGAGCACGACAATCTGAACACAATTAAATGAATTGATTTTATCCTACTCTAACCATCGTTATTGCATTCTTGCAAACTGATAGGAAGAAATTCTCGCATGAAATATTATGTGGATGGATAAGTTTGAAGTAATCGCACTTGTGTTATAATCCAGACACTGTAGGTCAAGGGAGATGCCTGCGTTGACTGTTTAATAATTGGGTTATGCGATCTTGGTAGACACAAATGCTAATAACTAATTTTTCATACTTGTTATGAACTTTTAGGATTTGTCCTGGTGCGAACTTGACAGACGCAAAGACCAATCACTAATTACTCGGACTTGTTATATACCCACGAATACGAGACCAAGGAAGAACACGATAGCTTAGTCGGATGGAATAGTATATTTGGATGGTTGTGCCAAAATACTGATGCGTTCCAACTAACTGGCTAGAGAGTCGAATACGAGCCATGCAACGTAACACGACAGCGTGCCGAATGGCGGGGATGCTTGACCGAGTGCTTTCAGCTTAGCGAGTCCAGTTAAACTATCAAGATCAGCATCAATGTCGAAAGTCGTCAAACCCTAGGCTATTGATTTTGGGAAGTTTGTGACGCTACAGATTATTCCCCCTAGTGGGTTCGTGAGGACCCGAAGGCGATACCGGCCGGAAATAAAAACCCAGTGGTTTCTCCACCGGTAAAACTCTTCCGATTGACTCACTGCGTGAAGCTGCCCCTGGTTGTCTGAACTTATTCTAGGGTGTCGTGGTAATCATATAATAAAATACAATAAATCGAATTTGACGTCGATCGTGGTACTCAGTTCCTTTTGACGTTCCGTTCAGTGCTCGTTGCACCTGGAATATCAGCAAAAGTCTTTAATACCACGAAAACCTTTCGTAAAAGTGGGAATTATTTATATATAAACATATCGAAAAATAAAAATTTACGCTTGTTTCCACCGTCTTTTTTAAAGTTTCATTACATGGTAATAAAAATTGATATGAAAAGGCAAAGTGTACGAGGGTTTGTCAGTTTTCAGTAAATCATGCTGTATCACTGTGCATTATATATCAAATAAACAAATCTAATATAGAATTAAATTCTACCATAGTGCTCTAGCTTTACACCTATATTACTCTAAATTTATCTTTGTAGGTAATTATCGTATGTTATTCGTCTTGATTTGGTAAGATCTTAGAGAAATATGTCTCAGTCATTGTCGTTTATACTGTTTATATTTATAGACAAACTTCGTTACAATGTTAGGATGATAGTTTTCACCTGGGCAACAATTTAGTAATTACCAATTATTTTACATATTCTGTCAGTGTTGTATTCTTTAAGCTGAGTGGCATGATGGTAATGTTTTGAGAGCAATCTCTTCAAGGGCTAGAGACATTTTTTTTCTGACAACGACGAAAACTTTATTATTATTATTTATCCCTTGGGTTCCTAGTGGAACGTAGGGCTTCAGTAGCACGTTGCCACTTCACTCTCTTCTCTGCAGTCTTTTCAACCTGGCTACACGACTGCCCACAAGCTCTTATTTCTTCCTCTCACGATCTCCTCCATGTCACCCTCGGACGACCAACTCGTCGCTTCCCATGGTGGTTCCACTCGGGTGCCTGGCGCGTGATGTCCCCAGTCGGCTTTCTCAGTGTATGCCCAATCCATCTCCACTTCCTTCTGCATATTTGTTGGGTGATAAGTTCCTGGTTGGTTCGTTCCCAGAGTTCCTTGTTGCTGATTCTTTCTGGCCATCTGATCTTCAGTAACGAGCCAGCATAGGTGGCAGTTGTTGATGAATATCTGTAATTTGTTGGAAATGCCTTTAGTAACGCACCAAGTCTCTGAACCATACAGAAGCATTGACTTGACTGACGTTGGTGTTGAAAATCCGGATCTTGTTCCACATGCTGAGTGCACAAGATCCCCACACTGATTTCAGGTCAATGAACGCCTGTCTTGCTTTTCCAATCCTGGCTTTGACGTCCTCGTCTATGCCACCTGTAACTTAATTACCCGTCATTCAATTTCGATAAAATACATAAATTGACCGATGGTTAGTACCTGAAATACATCGAGTAATGTAAAAATACTATAATATAAATAAATGAGATTGTGAAATACGTCGGCTTACACAACTATGTAAATGTTGAAGTCTTTGTTGCCAGAACTGCTATCACAACTTTTTTCTTGATAACTACGCAAAATCTTTACCACTGATCCGTGCCAATGAAATGGAATAACATTTCATCCTGGGTAGAGAAACACATGGGACAGCTTTTGGTCTCAAACAAACCACCAATTGATTAGGTTAGGTTGATTCACTCGCTTAATTAGGAACTTCTCCTGCGGGGAACATTTGTATAGGAATCATGTGGCAATGGGAGAACTAGAAAGCCCCACTACCACCACTCCATGGAGATACCAAACACATTGACTTACCGTTTATAACTTTTGGCGACCATTTGTTTACCTTTATAAAAGATCAGCTACAGTTACCACATCATCTACGACCAAACACGCTATCAATTCAACTGCTCCTGTGGAGCGAGTTACATTGGGCGTACGATGAGGCAGTTCCATCGTCGAATTTCTGAGCACCACCCATCATGGTTGAACAAGGGAGAAATTAGAACTATAAAGAGCTCCATACTTGCACACTTAGTTGACACAAGACATCAAGTGGTTGCTGGAAAAGCCTTCAAAATTATCCATCAGATTCCAATTAATTTACCTCATGGATTACTCACTCGGTTACTTCACATAGCAGAGGCGATTGAAATCCACCTTTACTAACCTAGCCTTTGTATCCAAAAGCAGTTTGTTGGACCACTTTCATTACCGTGGCCATAAACATGATATAACTTCTAGGTTTATTTTGTGTACCTCTTCCCCTTCTTGTTTCTATCGATATTCATACTTCCTATTTTAGTAACCTTATTGATTATTTACATCATTATTTCCGAAACACCACCAGGTGATTGGTAATTTGATTAAATTGTAAACCAATATATTAATGTAGAGCCTAAGATGAAGACCTAATTGAAAAGGAATATATTTCTACGCTCAATCAGTCTTTTTCTAAATGTCTAAATGGGTATATTCAATGTATTATAATTCAATAGCCCGTGAAATTTCATCGTTTACTGTTGAAATTAGAGAGTTAATCATTAAACTATCGTGGTCATAATTGACTGGATTGTATACATGAAAGTTGGTCATCAGTGAATGTGGTAACGTATGTAACAGGTGTCTAGCAATTGGTGCTTAGCACTGATCGAAGGTTATCAATGAAATTTTACATATATGTTTACGGATTTCTTAGTTCATTTCAAGATTATATTAAACAGTCTATAAAGTATTGTCTATTTTGTGTTTATTTATTTTAATCATTATCAATGCTATTTGTATAAAATAGTTGATTCCCTTCTAGCTTTTTAGTTAACATGTATAATTTATTTTATAGTCAGAATACTGTAACTGTGGTTCTACACTGGCTATTACTCAGACTTCTGCTACAAAAATTTATCAACATTTGGGTTTTCCAAAAGGAAGAGATGATATTATAGAACAAGGTTATAGACCATGTGCTCTACATATATGGGGTACTCATAATCTTAGTACACAGGATATCTTGTCTTGGTTATCTGGTTACAATCCGAAAAGTATAGAATGGATAAATGATGCATCATGTATGTTTAGTTTCTTGATTACTTTTTTGATTTCTTCTTCTACAGTTTTTTCTTCCATTTCTATCCTACGGTTTTTAATTGTCAAACATGTAATATCCTAATGAAGGATACGTTATAAGCCAATGAGAAATAATTACTCCTATATTTTACTATGTATTCACCCAAAGTGGTATAAACACATTTTTACAACAAATTTTAGTCTATTATCGTTTATTAGGGTTACGGTTAGATCATCTGTTCTAAGCCTCGTTTACTGTTTCATACAGTGAGATAATACCATTTGCTGGATTACTGGATTCAGTCATAATTTATTGATCATAATTATGATCAAGATAACGCCATATGATTTATATAGTTACTCATCTTCTTAATTGAATTTTCCATATATCCGGAACAGTTATTCATGTTGAATGTATTAGGGGTTGATTCGATTAAATAAAGATACAGTTACCAATCTCTCCCTCCACCCTGATGAATTAACTTTAAGGATTGTCACTTTTTGCCATTCTATTGTGTAGTGGTGTGTAATTGGATAATGGATAGCTATGGCAGAGCTATTATCGTTTATTATTGATATCATTCAACTGAATTACCTATGAAGATAAAATTTCTAAATCATTGAATAGTAGTACTCACATAAATGAATGAGATGAGATGTACAAGTGGAATATGGTTCACTAATACTATTACGTAAGTATTGATAGTTTAAGGGAAACATAAATAAAAAGGTGTATTAACATGATGTATTATTGGGAACTTAGTGTAAACTTTTGTTTCCGATCGATGATCTTGATATGACTGTGTCAGTGTACGACGTGGATTCTAACAACAAGTGAAACGACTAATAACACAACAAGATACTTGGACTGGATATGACTACTAACACGACTATTCTCCCTCATACCCTATATATACTTCACTGAACTGCAAAAATCATAAGACAAGAAGACGGGTCTAGGAAGACAATTTTGTTTGACAAAAAAAACATTTTTGAGATGAATGGGGATTTTTAATTTAGAAGTAATATTCATTGTGGACTGACATTAGTTGGGGAACCATTGAAAATCTGGGAGCACTAGACAGCTGTTTCGTCCTAGTGTGGGACTCCTCAGCAGTACGCACCCACGACCTGGCTAGGGATCGAACTCAGGACCTTCAGGTTTCACGGCGAACGCGTTAACCATTCAACCACTGGGTCCGTTTCCAGATTTTCAATGGTTCCCCAACTTAATGTCAGTCCATGATGAATACTACTTCTAAAGAAAACATTGTTTATATTTATATACACCTGCTACTCAGAAAATGAAGCTACTCAATAACCAATTAGATGGACTTAAATGAAAGTCTGGAAGAAAAATATTTCCACCCCAACGGCAAATGATCTTGAACGATGATTTCCATTCTTGGTCACTTCCTAGCAGATCTCTGTCAATGAGAATACATCTTTGTTGTATAGATATGATTGAATCATTACGTGGACAATATTGAAGTCAGGTAAAGGTTACTAGGCAAGGAAAACAAATCAGTCGATAAAGTTATGAACCTTTATCGACTGAGCTGTCTTGGACATATGTGTTACGCATACCGAACCACCGTCTACTTCAATGTAACATGCTCTCAAAAGTTGGGTTACCTTGGAAGAGGAGGATTCATAGTGGTTACACTAAAATATGTTACTAGTGCATAAAGTCTCTGATTGGGATCCCCTAAGATGATAGGGATCAGTAGTTGAGTACCGTTGTTGAAATGGCTGAAAATAGGTGGCGGTCGTGCAGATATATTCACTGCCTGATGTCTTCTAAAGCTTGGATATTTCGACTAGCCTTAATTTTTAAATTCCTTCTCCTCCTATACACTTTTGTTTACTTTGTTACCAGTCTTTTTTGCCCACTTCTTTGTAAGCTACTGTTGATCCACTTGTGTACTGGTATCTTCGTTGATTTTATCTGTAGCCCCGTAGTACTAAAAGGGGTGGAAAGCTGGGGCTGTGGCTTAGTAGTTTAAGGAGATGACTATCAACTGGTGGGTCCTCAGTTTGAACCTCTCTCTACCTACCGAGGTTTGGGCAGTCAGGCAGTATCACTTGCCTTCACACAACAGGTGTTTAATATAACTTGTTTCAATCAAACAATTGCACGTGATAAGCCTCACTGGGTGGGTGGGTAACAGCAAGTTACGGAATGATGTCCATCCATTCATCCAAATCAACATAGGACCAGGCGTTACTGCGTAACGGCCTGAGTTGTCACACCTCATATCACTACATCAAGTAAAAAGGCAGTGAAGGGGAAGATGAAGAAAAAAAATCAGTCAAAAGAAATATAATGTACGAAAAGAGAGAAAGGAAGAATGGGAAAATGGTGAGATTCGGTGTAATGTTAAGATGAGGATAATGTGTGTATACATCTACGCCACTCACATCGGTTCTGAGCCATTATACGTCGCCTAGAGTCTCCAACCACTGGTTTCTCTTGTCCCGCGGACCCCGACCGGCTAGTCTGCATCGCCCCACATGGCTCAAACGAACAGTCAGACTTCATGTATTCATACAATGTTTTAGTCTAGCCGCCTCGAGCCTTTTTCTAGCCTGAACCTACTTTGGTCTACATTGTGTGACGAGGCAGACGGTGGCTAGTCATATGTAACACATGTCCCAGCCAGCCATTTCAGTCGATGAAAGTTTACAACCGCACCAACTGACTTACATCTCCTTCCTAAAACTCTACATCTGACTTCTGCATTACTCACATGGTGACACCACGGAATACGGCCTATACTTCGAAGACAACGGCGGTCAAACACCTGAAGCCCAGCCTTCTCATGTCTTCACCTTCAATGGCCATGTTTCACAGCCATACGGTAGAACAGACTGGACTGCTGTGCAGTACACTCGACCCCTAACACACAATCGGATATCATGGCGGTGCCACAGGTGGCGAAAGTTGGCAAAAGCCGGCCGAGCCTTTTGTATTCGTACAGAGATTTCGTCGGCCACTGAGCCACCAGGGCTGGTCTTACTTCCCAGGTAAGTGAAGTGGTCGACACACTCAACCACTACACCCTCTATTGTTAGCCGCGGTGGGGCACCGTTGAAGACCAATCCTGAAGCAATAATTTACATTTGGGTGGTGAAAAACACATCGCAATGCGGAATGATGTTACTAAGTGTAGCCTCTTCTAACTATTAAAGTATCCTGAAGACAAGTTTTTTCTTCCTATTTTAGAAATCTAGTGTTTTTATATGTTCACATTGTAGTAGTGATGCTTTGTTTTCGTCAACAGTAGAAAATAAAACTTGTCACCCTATGAGAGTAGCACTCAATGTTTTCTCAGTCTGTTGTCAACCATATTCTTGTTGGAAACTCTACAAATCATTGTAAACAAGTCTATATACAATCTTACTCAGTAATATGTCACTTAGAACTTCGTATCAACATCCCTACGTAGAGTGAAACTGCAGTTCATTGATCTAAGCACTTTACTTCCTACCAGTGGGTTATAGGTTCGAAACCTGCTCCACCTATCGATGCCTAAACAGCCACATAGTATCATTAACCCTTAGACAATAGATGTGGCTTATTACCTATTGCTTGTACGTATTGAAATGGGGCATACAGTGGATGTACATACATCACTGAAGCCCATCTATAAAATCTGTTGGAGACGTATTTGTTGAAGTACCACCCAACCATTAGGAGGTTTAAACTACCTTCATGTGTACAAAAGCAATTCGCCATCACACTAAACCCTCCTTGGTAAATTCAAATGTGTTCAATATCTTCCAGTAACTTACAACAGCTCTTTACTTTGTATGCTCGAAGCTATGATGATAACCGCTCACCATCTCGTATACACGTACTTTTTCCCATGAGAAAAAAACAACTAATTCTGTCGATTCTGCCACTTGGCTTTTCGTTGTAAAGAGTGGAAATTTAAAACTTGAAATTGTATTCATCTTGGTGACTAGCAGTGGAATCCAGGAGGCGAGTTTCGTCCTACTTAAGACTCGTCAGCTGAATGTGCCTGCATGCAAGTAAGTGATGTCCTCACTGAGACTCAAGCCCAATACACTTGAGAGTTTCCATAAGAAACCGCGGATTGTGTATTTCGCGAACACCTAACCTTACTCTTGGTATGATCAGTCCACTGAAGTAGCTAGCCGAAACTAGGGTGGTTTAACTAATTTAATTCGCCTAGGTGAATCCTTCCGGCCTCCCTGATGAACTCATCCTCAAATAAACGAAACGTCTGTTCGATGTTTAGGTCACCTTAATCTATCTAGCCTGCACTACTGGCCACTACGAATAATCTACAGTCATCACGTAACAGAATTTCAGGTAATATCTCTCATCCTACAACTTGGTTTTCATGCTTACGGCAGCTGAATACCAGGCGTCGAAAAAATGCATTCAGCAACCATGTACGCGTTTGTGCGGTAAACAATAAGCCTCGTCTATTGCATGATACTCCTTTATTTCGCACATACTGATAGTGGGAACGGGGTTTGAACCTATGATGTACTGGTGGTTAAAACGTGTATGTCCTAGACCAGTGGGGCACAGCTCTGAAATCCTAAGTATGCAGATAAACTGCCCGGGATTTCAGCACTTTCAACTACCTAATAGTAATGTGAACAATAAATTGGACACAAAACGTTCATTATATAGTAAACGAACTGAAATGGTTTAGATTAATAGTTCACTTATTAGGTTGTAAACATACTTCCTCAGCTGTTATTTTTCGAGTTTATCACTCCCCCCCCCTGCTCTCTCTATCTCTGTTTTTCTTCTAAGGTAATGTGGTGTTTGACGATGAAAATAGTGTTCTACGCGCAATATCTGATTCAGCAGAACCATTTGATCGTCGAGTGGCACTAGCAGCAGCCGCTGCTCTTGCCTCACTTTTAGAGAAAGATGATGAAACTACTGAATTAAATTTAAGTAGTCAATCAGAGAACTTAGATGAAACTTGTAATGACTACAAGTCTTTAACTGTATCAAATGAAACATTGGATTCTATTGAACAGTTTTCACAACATTTACCTCCAACTGGACGCTGGTATAAAGCTTTATCAGTTCCACCTCAAACAATATCACTTTTCTTAAGATTTCCACATAAAAGTAAGTTTAAATATTCATTCTATTGCTTAAGTGTTTGTTAGATAGGAATCTTCTGAATCTTGTATCATATATGTGAATGAATTTAATGTCAATTTCTTGATTGTTCTAAGGTTGTTTTAAAAATTGAAAAGTTTTAAGTACTTTGTTAAGTCAGTTATAATCCCTTGATGAAATTGTCGTCAATAGTCATTAAAAGCCACGTAACTTGAATGTGGTAGGTGGTTCACTTTTAACTAAAGAAATATCATAGTTATACACTTTTAACAGGTTAAATAGCTGAAATGATGAAGCACATTTGATCAAAACTTACTTCAGTATGAAGTGATCCAGTAGCTTGCCCTAACGAAATGATTTGACTAAAATAGTTTGTGATAAGATGAAATTTAATAATCTAGGAAATTTTCTTTATATAATTTAAAAACCGTGGCATTGAATAAACGTTTATACAAGTCTCAACATCTTACCAACAGAAAAGAATAAAAATGCCCCATTATATATGACTTCTGAATGATAACAATATATAAACCAATGGGTCATAGGTTCGAGTCCTATTCGACATATCTATACTTGGATAGCCTTCACATAAGTAGGTATGGCTTATTGCCTACAACATAGCACATCATTGTTGTGTTATTTCAGTTTAAATTGTGTTTGAGTAACACACTTAACGCATATAGGGTCACTCAAGTAACCTGAGGAATTTATTTTCCCATCAAAATTGTGTTTTTATTTGTTTTTCTTGTTGTTTGAGATTTTGAACTGTTTTTTTTTGGCTGTTGTTTATGCCTTTTTCAGCAGATGTAAAGTTGCCTGGTGCAGAACGTCGAAGTCTTTACTATCGTCGTTTTGGTAATCCTAATTATGGTGGAATGACAGGTATTTTAAGTCGTTCATACAGACGACGTGTTCGTATATCTCGAATAAAGTCAAGTAATGATCCAAATGGTGATTCTCGGCATATAGAAAGTTTATCTGCACAATTTGCTGAAATGGTTGCCAATGCTTATGATTATCCTGAAGCAGTAGTTAGCCACATAACTGGTAAAAATAACTATAATATATGGAGTTCAATTTCTCAAGGACCTGCACCTGAACGTCCACTGATTGTTTATGATAATCTCTACGAGGAATCAGAGCAAATAAGTTGTCCTACAGTATCATCTAAATATACTACAAAATGTAATACAAGACAACGTCGAAATGCTAGTGGTACGATATAGTAACAGTACACTTTTTATTACATCTCTCTTACTCTATATCTATTTTCAATAAGTTACAAATGAAATGTCCTTGTCATCTTGTCGTTGATTTTACGCATTACCTTACAAGTGAACTATGCAGTGGAGATGTGACTTGTTGTCTTAGGGGAGATGACTTAATTAATGGGTCATGGGTTCGATTCCCCCTCCACTTGCCGAAGTTTAGGCAACCAGATAGTATCAGTAACCAGCTCATTGCCTACTGCACGAATGTGTTCACAAGGTTGCTGAGTAGATTTCAGTTTTTTTTCGAATGTCTTTGGTTATCATCAGCAGTGCCTTATCCATGCTTACAACCATTTTCATTGTTATTGATGTAGTTAAAAGTTGTTCACATCGTAGACATCAAATACGTTCATGACTCCCTTGCCACTCGGTTAGTTATTCTTTTTTCATACATAATGTCTGTATCAGTCAACTGCCAATGTGATATGCTTGATGCGATAGACGGTATCAAGATTACAAGCATAAAAGTCGTACGAATTATAGTTTTCATAGGGAACCGCGGATTGTGTATTAGAGTAGCCGGAATTAGGGTAGTTTTGGTTCTCGAAATTGAATCACTCCGAGTTCACTTCTGATAAGTTTGGCCCTAAATAAACAAGCGAAACAACTGTTCGGCGTTTAGATCAATTTGATCTGACTAGCTGGCACTATTGTTCGACATGTAGTAGAATTTCACTGCTTCCTATCTCATTAGTTGGTTTTCTTGTTGACAATAAGTGAATACAAATTGTCGAAAAAATGCATTCAGCAACTATGTAGATGTTTTTAAAGTAGACAAAAAGTCATGCCTCTTGTATGAAGCCTAGTGATACTCCTTTGTTTCTGAGTTTTGGTAGCCAGAAAGGGGTTCAAACCCACGATGCACTGCTGGTTAAAAGTTGAATGTCATTTGACTATCTGTGATAGCCGTAGTTTATCAGACTAGTATTTATACTGGATGGTGATTGAAGGTGAAATGAAAATTTGGACCGCGGCCGGATTCGAACCAGTCACCACCGGGTTTCCTGCCTGCTGCTCTACCAACTGAGTTACGAGATTCGACTGCTGATCAGATCTTATTTCACTTCAATCATCAAGGGTTTTGCCCGACTACTATGTGAATTCGTGATCGTATTGATCCATCCGCGGTCCGAATTTTCATCTCACCTTCAATCATCTCAGAAAGCCAAATGGTAATGAATATGATGATACTCCCCCTCTCTAATTCAGTTACATTTCGATTGGGATGAAAAGTCCTGACTGGTGGGCAGCCATTGTGAATACGATCAAGCGGCAATAACGTATCATGAATTCACATAGTAGTGGGGCAAAACCCATAGTGATTGAAGTGAAATGAGAATCTGGTGAGGGGTCGGACCTCGTAGCTTAGTTGGCAGAGCATCGCGCTGGAAACTTGGTGGTCGCTTGCTCGAATCCGACCACGTTCCAAATTTTAATTTCACCTTGAATCATCACCCGGTATAAAAGTTGAATATCTAGACCGATGGGCGATAGCTCCAAAACCCTAAGTATGTAGATAAATTGTCCTTACTTTGAACACTTTCAACTCAATGCAAAAACAATTTAAAAGCCGCCATTTCCCCTTGGGGACTTTATTTGGTTCTGTATTAAGTTTGAAATTCCTTTATACTATTAACCACTAGAATATTAATGGTTATATTGTGTATTAGCAGCTTCAAAAGTTTTCAGATTCTATGGGGTCATTGTTATGGCCTCTTCCTTTCGTCTATTGGTATTCATAGACTGTTGATTTTGTTCTTCATACTTCTTCTATCTTCCCTTTTGTTAACCTCTATTTCAATATACTGATGTGAAGTGTAACAGTTTAGGCGTTTATGTCGTTATTTAAAATCCTTTATCGATAGTATCTGTCTGACGGTTGCTTTACATAGTTTTTTCCTCATCAATTTTTGTTTAACAAGCATATGAAACTTGTGAACTTAGTCATTTATGGCACCGCCACGATATCTGATTGTCTATTAAGGGTCGCATGTACTGCACAGCAGTCCAGTCTGTTCTACTGTATGGCTATGAAACATGGCCATTGAAGGTGGAAGACATGAGAAGGCTTCAAGTTGTGAACTTTTATTGACTGAGATAACTGCCTGGAACATGTGTTACGTAAGCCTAGCCACCGTCTGCCTCATCGCACAATGTAGGCCGAAATAGGTCCAGGCTAGAAAATGGCTTAGGATGACCAGACTAAAAAATAGCATCAATGCATGAAGTCTTTGACTGTTTGTTTGGATCATGTAAGGCGATGTAGACTAACCGGTTAGAGTTTGCTGGACAAGAGAAACCAGTGGTTGGAGACTCCAGGTGATGGCATGGCTCAGAATTGATGTTAGTGACACAGATGTATCCACACATTATCCTCATTTTAGTTGACGGAAAAACTGAATTTCAGTGTTTTTTCACTTTGATATATCCTCTTTCAATGAGTTTCTATCACTCTTGACTGCTTTCTTCTTTGTCTTTTATCTTATTGCATTCTGACTTGATGTACTAATGTGAGATGAGGTGTAGCAACTTGAATTGTCATGCAGAAATGACAGGTTCTGTGTTGATTTTGTTTATCTACAAGTTGATCATTGTGTAGAGATGTGTCTCATTGACTTACACAGTGGATCTGGGATTCAAACTTCGTTCCCAGTGGTATCGTAAGCCCTCCGCACACTATCTGTTTGGCTTATAGTCTAGTACAGTAACGTGTATCGGACTGACTTGCATTGTTACACACAAAAAGGTATTTTCAGCAGCAAGTATTGGGTTTTTTTTCGTTAAAGGGTTCATCATGATTATTGGCAGATTCCAGTGGTACTGGTGAATATTTGCACCTTGTTGATGCTATAGATAATCTGACAACTTGATTACTATTTGAGCTTGAGTTTCCAGTAGTGAAGCTTTTCAAATCGCAGTAATTGTCATGATTGATGCATAGTCTTGATTTACTGAAGATGACGTCTTGGCTAATGTTAAAAGTTCGGCATATAGAAATTCATGTTTGAAAGGAAACCTGTTATAGTGGTATCCGTTAGGATTGTCTAGAGTCGTCAAAAATCCTCAGGATCGTTGAAATGCTTCACAGCTAGACAACTTACTGCTAAGCTTCGAGAAAAAGTGTAATCGAGTGTGTAAATATCTAATTTTGGTTGAATGAATACAATCAATAGTGGACTTCTAAAGAGGTCTGAAATAACCAATCCCATTGTTTCTGCAGTACACCTCCTCCCATCTCATTCCCTTTCCTATTTCTGAAGAATAGAGTGAATACCAAGAGTAGAATCTAAAGGGGGTTTTTTTCAAACGTATACATCAGTTTTATCACTTCATCTAAAAGTTAAACCTTCAAAATTTGATTTTCTGTACAATGGTTCCATTTGTTACTTATCTGTAAATTTTATCGATATTTTAGAGTTTCCTTTGCCTAAATTGACCAGGCAACCTCGTAAATGGCCTCGTCGAGATCGTGGTCCAGTACCAAATCGTTGGGTAATAAATGAGAATGAAGATGATGATGATATATTCGAGACTCCAGAACCTGGAACGATTGTAGTTCTTGACCCACGAGAACCATGGGGAAATGCACTATCTGGTGATCCTAAGCCTGTTATGTATCCAAGTAGTCGTAATTATATCAGATCAACTAACCGTCATTATCCACGTGAAATTGCAACTGTCACTTTGATGCCTGACTCTGATATTGACAATGAAACGGATCCAATCGAAGCAGAAAATGCTTTCAGAACCAAACGTTTATTGGCTTCAATGAGTATGGTAGCGGATATGGAATCTCATCCAGCAAAATCACGGTATTACTTGTCGCATTTTGAATAATTTTCTTATTGTGATGTAAAACCGTTGAATACAAAACATAAGAAAGTTCTAGGTGTTCGACTACCGTAACCTTTGTAGCATTGACCGTTTATCGTGGGAATATCTCATTGGTAACGTAGAATTCAGAAGTAGAATCGTCTTAGGCAAACAACGTAAGCTGGCTGATAATAGCTTATGCATATGTTACACTTATCTGGTCACCGTCTACCCTGTCTTACAATATTAAGTGAAGTGATTTTTTAAAGCAGGAAAATCACCGAAAGCAGCCAGACTAAAACGTGGTATTAGTCCATAAAGTTTTTAATTATTGATCTAAGTCGTGCATAGAAATGTAGACTTCCTAGTTGGAGGCTGTAGACGATATTGACTGTGAATCCATCTACGGCACAGATGTATCTTCACATTATTTTCATCCTGATCGTCGTATTGTATTTCGCTATTTAAGCTTTTTCCCGTCTCTCTGCCTTGTATCTTGACGTGGTGATATGACGTGTGACGAGTTGGACAGTAAGGTAAGTATTGTCAGGCCTCATGTGTAACCGATATGGATCATAGTTTCCAATACAGAGTAGTCAAATGTTTTAAGCAATGCATGAAATGAACTCTTTTCGTTCAGTTATTGTTCCTTATCCTCTTTTTTCTGTGGAGCTGTCGTTCAATGGTTTAGGGAGATGACTATCAACCATTGGGCCACGGGTTCGAACCCCACTGCACCTACCAAGGTTGGGGCAGCTAGGTAGTCTGTGTGGCTCATTACCTATTGTATGGATACGCACAAAGTGGCTGAGTATGTTCATTAAAAAAACCTGGTGGCTAAGACGACAAATACTCAACGATGACATTGGGTGGTGGTCGCGCTATGTCGTGAACTAACAGAAGTAGGAAATATGGACCATTGCATTCTGACCTACTGGCTACCTCAATGGTAACGTGCTGGCCTCAGGACCTGCTGGTCGTGGGTGCACACTGCTGAGGAGTCCCATACTAGTGGGACGAAACATCTGTCCAGTGCTCACAGATTTCCAGTGTTCCTACAAATGATGTCAGTTCATGATAAATACCAACTTGAAAGAAAAGTTCTTTTTTCTGTGCATCCTTGAGTTTTCTTACACATCAATAACTATGCATCCTATTCAAGGTTTAGTAGGAATCAATTACAACAATTATCCAAATCTGTATACCTTTTGTAATATGGTATAGGGATCATTTTGGTCATTCATCTGAGGATTTTTTTCTCACCTTGTTTAGATCTGTTTCAGAACGTCTTGGTATACCTGGAAATCGTCCAATCAAATCACATAAACCAAACGTCTGGCAGCGTTTAGGCTAAGTATTAATTTCTTTCTGTACCTTGATAATCTTTCTTTGTGAGAGATGCTTTTGCTTTTCACTGCACTATACTGTTGATGTTTTGTTTTTGTTAAGTGCTAAATATTATTCTCAGCATAGTGTATATATACCTATATCTAGTTGATCCTTATTGATTTGCTGCTTTTAGTTCGACTCCTGGACATATGTTTATGCTAACTAGTGCTTGTTGTATACAAATGTTTAATTTGTAAATAAACTGAAGTGAGATTTGTCTGCTTTAAAATAACATTGTTTCTTTGCCTATACAGTGAAGGGTTAAATAACACTGAGATTGACACATAACGTTTGGTGGGTTAGTGTCTATGAAATACATTTGAAAATGTCAGATATCTCATATACGAAGATTAGTCCTGCTGATTGCCTCCAGCCAACATGAGGTTGATAGCTCTCCAGTGATCAGTCAGTGTGTGTAATCTACTCCTACAAGAGGTGGTTAGTCGCGACCCGAATAGCTCAGTGGTAACGTTGCTGACCGTGATACGGGTTCGAATCACACAGGAGACATCATTTCCGTTGAGGTTTTAGATATGCCTTCTTGTCGATTACCTCCAACCAACTAAAGTTCTATAACTTGACAAATTAAGCAATATAGCGGAGGTGTGGTTCAATGGTTTAATCACTTGATTTTCACCAAGTGGGTTCGAACCCAGTTCCGAGAAATTTGACTTGGGACTGACCACCAGAAGTTCAGTTATTCTTACCTATACCGTTTAAAAATTGTTTAAATCGTCATAAGAATTTCTAGTTTATCTTTATAACCTCATCTTTTGAACGATTCATCCACTGAATTATTATTATTATCTGGGAGAGAAGAGATCAACACAGATGAAACCAATAAAAGATGAAGAGGGAAATCTAATTATCAAAGAAGAGAAACAAAGAGAACAATGGACTGACCACTTCGAAAAGCTCTTGGATCGACCACCACCACCACCATCTGCAACTCGTCCAGAAATACCACCTACAGCCCAGCCACAGAACTACAAGTGAACATAAATCCCCCAACAAAAGCGGAAGTCCTGAATGCCATAAAGCTACTGAAATGTGGGAAAGCAGCAGGACAAGATGGAATCCCATCAGAAGCACTGAGAACATGTGCAGGGACAACAGCGAACATGCTCACACTACTACTGCAGAAGATCTGGAAGGAAGGAAGTAAGGAAAGGTACCTGCTGATGGATTGGAAGAAGGGCTACCTTGTCAAACTGCCGAAGAAGGGAGACCTAAGTCATTGCAAGATCAAGAACTGGTGAGCAATCATGCTGCTGTCCACCTCAAGTAAAATATTATACGGCATCATTCTGGAGAGACTAAAGGATGGGCTGGATTCAAAATTCGGAGTATAGAATGACAATCAACTCCTCTACCTGAACTTTATCGACTTTGAAAAGACCTTCGATTACGTGAACCGAGAAGTGATTTGGCAGGCTGGCAACTGCTGCTTCAACACTATGCTTTTGATGCCACAAACCTTTATCAACCTTATTCAACAGCTGTATGAGGACGCCACATATCAAGTGATCGACAATGGAAAGCTCAGCGACACGTTTGAATTGAAGACGGTAAGGAGTAAGACGAGACTGCCTACTATCACTCATGATCTTACTGATTGTGGTGGACTGGATCAGATACCACTACTAATGAACAACTTGAGTAGTTACAAACTATCCAGGCTAATTTGGACATTTTACCAATCAGCCAGCCAGTTCGGAGTGATTTAAACACCGGACACTGACTTGAGGTGGTCTAACCAGATAAATTTAGCTCATTGAACCGATTTAGTCGAAATCACCTGAATCTGAGTTTTTCACTAGTAGTATCTTTGGGTACTTCATGATACTTTTGTGTCAAATATCACACTTTATGATGCTGAGGGAAAAAATACTGACAAAATGCAGGATCCCTTGAAGATATTGCTCAAGAATATGAATATGTCTGACATGATTTTCTAGTCTAAGAAAGAGTAGATTGATTTGTGACTGGAGAGTAACCGACTTCACGCAATTCGTCATTGCGATGCACTGACATAGATGATATTTGGATATAGGCAACTGACAGGCAGGCCTGAATGATCTGGGTTTCATGTCTGTTTGCATTCGTCAGCACAGAGTATTTCGAAAGTCGACGGAATCGATATATCGTCTGTGTTTCGAAACCACGTCACCCAATGAAAGAGTTCTTCAAACTCTTATCAACTTTATGGAGGGGATAAATTGGAGCAGAGGATATGTTGAATACTTTAGTATAACTTTGTACAGAATAGTAATGGGTGGTCGCTTCATGCGACAAAGGTCACTGACCATCCATCATTTACTTTGGAAGCAGTTTGGTTGACAGCATTATGTATGCGTGTGGTCAGTAGACTGATTGCAAAGAAATTTCAGGTCGCAGACGAATATGAGTTACAGAGTCACTGAATTTGTGGAAGATTGTGGAGTATTGGAATCCCCATTTCATCCTCATATGAAGGTGTTTAGCTGCACCCATACTGTTACCTAGTTTCAAATTACTCTCCAGCCTATTATTATTTATACCTTCTGTTCCTAGTGGGATATACCGCTTCAGTAGCACATCAACATTTCACTCCAGTCTTTTCAAACTGACTCCTCACACCGTCTCATCCATATCACCCTCATCTTGGACGCCCAACTCATCGCTTCCCATTTCAGTTCCACTCGACAACCTGACCTGACACATGATATCCCAAAACCATCCTCTTTTTCAGTTCATGTCCAGTCCACTGAAATCCATCTCCACTTTCCCCTCCTGCATATCTGTTATGTGATGGCTTGTTGGTTGGTTGGTTACCAGCCAATCAGAGTGACTTCCTTGTTACTTCCTATTGTTATTGTGGCCATCTGATTGATGTTTAGTGTCAGTGTGTAGTGAGTGTAGGTGGCGGCAGCTTTTGATGTTGTATGTCTGTAGTTTGTTGGAAATGCTTTTGTGACGTGCCACCATGTCTGTCAAACATTACAAGGAAACATTGACTGACATTAGTAGTGTTGAGAATGTGGATGTTGTTCACACTTCATGCTGAGTGGAATGGAGTGCGGTGAAGTAGATCTCCACACTGATTATTTCAGATTAATGAAGGAAGACCTGTCTTGCTGTCTTTCTGATCCTACCTTTCACATCATAATCCGTGCCACCAGCACCACCTGTAGTTGAGACGATGCTTCCTAGGTAGGTAGGTAGGTAGGCAGGCAGGTCGGTGAAACAAACAACTTCCTTAACATTTCTCCCATTCATGGTGCTTGTCGTTGGTGTTGTTGTTGTTATTGGTTGAGTATCTTCATCACCTCTGTCTTCCTTACATTAACATGAAGGATATCCCATCTTCCTTCGCTCTCTCGCCTAGCCTCAACTCTTCTGCCAACTTGTTAGTTTTCAGCTGTACATCTTCAAGTTTGTGCAACACAAGACATGAGACACGAATCATGATCGGTGAAATCCAATTCTTCTTCTTCTTCTTCTAGGGTCTTCTCATCGGCCAGCAGGCGGGTGTATCTCCATCTTCTCAATCCTCACAGTTGTCTGTTGCATGATCCAGTCCAGTACAGTCTAGTTCAGTCCAGTGCAGGCGAGTCGACCACAATCAAGAAGATGATCGGTGTTAGTAGGTGGCGACCTCGTCTCACTCCTTCCTGTCTTCACTTCAATGGCATCACTGAACTTTCCATTGTGAATCACTCCGCATGTAGCATCCTCATTGAGCATATAGCTGCTGTTCAATATGATGTTGATGAGGTGATTGTGGCACTAAAAGCATAGTGTTGAAGCAGCATCTGCCAACCTGCCAAATTACTTCTCGGTTGACGCAATCGAAGGTGTTTTCAAAGTGGATGAGTCTGAGGTGTATAGTTGACTGTCATTCTCTGTTCTGTTCATTGATGATGTGTAGTGTAGCATTGTGATTTGGTGTGTAAATGATGTGTTCTTCCTGAATTCATTCAGTCTGTTCTGGTCGTAATTTTGCATCTGGAGGAGTTTATAGTCTCTCCAGGATGATGCTGCTTGATGTGGATAGGAGTATGATTCTGCTCGAGTTCTTGCAATGACTTACTTTTAGTTAAATATGTACCTTAAAGAAATGTTGACCAATCGATTTCAATATTACATTGAAGTCAAGAAATATGATTGATATTTTTGTGTTGTAGAATTCAGTGATATAACTACACTTGCTAATACTCCTACATGGAATACCAACTCTGTCGGTTCGATAGCTCTACCTTATCGGATCAATTACTCAAATACACATTTTCATGTCTTTAATCTTTCAGTAAAGCTCATCCATCATCTTATGAACAAAATATACCACCATGTTCAACTGAGGTTTAGTTAACATCAGGAAATCTACCCATCTATGATAGAGGATATGAACTTTAGGAAAATTTATACTAGTCAATATGTTAGCATTAATGGAATAGAAATTGAAATCCAGAGGTGACCAGTTTTCAGAGTGCTTCAACAGGATAACTGTGTTTACATTAGCATCTGCTAGTAAATTAAGACTACTTTGGTAATGAACAAGAAGTCATATTGTAGCATCTTATTTCATTGTATTATGTTGATATATATATAACAACTCATTGAACATTCTTTGTTTAGTTGTACTGATGAAAACACACACATAATAAGTACAAAGTAGAAGATTTCTAACATCACTTTAAGATGAAGTAAATATTTTGAAGTCATTCATCAACTTTCATGTCATTAAAAACTCCTCTACATAATTTTTAATACAAAAGCACAACTATAACCATCTAGTGTATAGTTGTTACGAAAGTCCTGTAAGAATTTGAGTACTGAGTCTGCTGAATACACAAAATACGATTATTTCTATCATCAAGAAAATGATATACTAAGATTTTCAAAAGTGGTGAAACTTATGTGTTGTCAACTTTCTCTGTCAGCAGTCATATGGTTTCTGGATGATTTGTAACAAATCAGCTAACT